TTCAGTGCAGCAGCTGCACAAATCCCCATCACGCTCAGATGACAGAAATTATATAACAAACACGCAGTTTGCAGATATTTCAGAAACAGTATAAAACACGATCATCCAACATCAGCGACCTTTTTTGCATAAAGTCACACTCTTATGTCACAGGGCTCCACATCACCTTAAGCAAGACTCTAAAAAAAAAACATAGCTGTTTAATATGACAGCCATCTACCCTTATAGTCAAAGCTCGGGAGAATAAACGGAAGCTCAAGAAGAGACTTAAAAATCTTTGGGACCTCTGAAAGTCCCAGTAAAAGTCGCACTCACTCACTCACTCACTCTCACTCTCACACACACACACACACATATATAAAGGAGAGGGGAGCACAGGTGAATGTAATTACGTCAATAATGGATCAACTTCTTCTTGGGTGTGGTGGTTTATTATTGTCACTGTATATTCATCAAGATTTTGTTGGCACTTTGCCAGAGAGGTGTTGTTATATTACATTATACGTTATTAAAAATTTAAGAAAAATAATTGAAACATTCCTAAATATATTGAACAGTAGAAATTCTGTTGTAGCCTACACAGTAAGGTTTGTATATTATGCTGAATGACAGCAACACTGCAGAAGGGCTGTCTTTTTAATTACATTTTTTAAATAAAAGTTTTACATATTTTGATCACCACAGAGAAAGATTTACTGGGAATTTATCAGAACTTGAACAAACAAAAAACTACAATATATGGCTCAAAGTACATAAACACAGTTTTGTCTGCTTTTCAAAACAACTTAATTGACCTCCACACAAGCTTGATCTTAGCCCCATTAAACACTTTTTTGGACAAACTGGAATACCTGTGAGCCAGTCCTTATCGATTAATTATGGATTAATCTATAAATTGTCAAATAATTGTTTGGTCTTTAAAACATGGAAGAACAAATGTTTGTGAGCAACTGTCCAAAAACCACTCAATTTACAATAATGTAGGACAAGAAAAAAAATAGCAGTTTCTCATTTTGAAGATGCTTGGAACCATGACTTTTGGCATTTCTGCTGGAAAACTGATGAAATGTCAGAATAATTGCTAATGTTTTAGAGTCATTCTCATAAGGATTAATTGGGAAATGTTCTGTGTGTAGCCCAAGTGTGTAGCCCCGGCTGTGTGCGGTCTGTTTAGTTAGTGCATAGTTTCGCCAGAATTCTACCAGGGTGTTAATAAAAAAAGTTGCAGTCTGAGGATGTATATAGTACTGTTGCATTAGATTTTGTTATACTGTACTTTTAATTAGGATGTTTATTGGAATAATTCCTACTTCTCTATCATGTCATGCAAAGATCTTACACATTTTCCATACCAGTGCATGGTTTGCTTGATCTGCATACTTTTATTGGTCCCACAGAGTCAGGTTGATCAGGGAGCAATATTTTCAGTGTAACGTGAATATCTGCAAGTAGCTCACAAGCATTTGGCGATACAAGCAGCAGTACCAGTCAGTATAGTGTGCTTTGGCACCCATTGTGGCCTATATTTATGTCATATGTAGGTCTGTGAGTGAGCTTCCTTTGCAACTTCTGAGGTTTAACTACTCAACGGTGAGCTATATTGTCTAAGTTATTTTATTTATTGTGTCAAATGTTTAGAGATGGTTGCACCTGTATTAAGCTGAAGTTATTTTATCTTTGTGACCTAGTTGCTGTGAACTGTGGATGGGGAGAATGGTGGGTCGAGTTGTATGTTGTGTTGCTAAGCTATGGTAATTCAAGGGTCAATTTTTTGTGCATTCTCTTGCTGTTACCGGTGCAGAGAGGGATAAATAAGCACGTGAGCCTAAATGCCCTAAGTTATCATGCTGTGAGTTAGTTCTGCCAGCTTAAGGGTGCACTGTGTAACTTTATTTTCTAATACCAAGATGTTTATTAAGGAACTGTGGTTGCTATTTGAATGCATTGGTTGTTGATTATATTTGCATTTTACAGTTATATTAATTAATGTATGGGAAATGTATGAAATTAGATACGATTTATTTTTGTAAAGAGTATTTTTTGTAAAGAGTATGAAATTGTCTGTTGTAGGTCAGGTTTTTTTTTTTTGGGTAGAAGAAAAGAAACAAAAGAAACCCCTCTCATCGCTCTGGAGTTCTTCCTGGAGGAAATTAGATCAGAGATTCTCAGTGGATGCTGGGTGGCGAGCCAGGTGAAAGCCTCAAGAAGAACTGATTAGGAGAAAGACTTTTGTGATCCGGTTCACTGCGGAGCTGGTAGGATCCCTAACTCCAGTTTAAAGGGCCCCAACGATCTGACATT